TGTGTGACTGTGTGTGTGACTGTGTGTGTGACTGTGTGTGTGACTGTGTGTGTGTGTGTGTGTGTGTGTGTTGGAGGTAACCAAGCCCACAAGCCTTCAGGCAGGCGTCCCCTTGGTCACCTCTGCAGCTGCTGGCAACGTCTCCAACCCCTCACGCACACACACAAAAATACAAGGAACACAACAGCTTCACTTCCTGAAGATGACAAAAAACAACCCAGAATTTACACTTGTGGTCTGTCTTTGTGGCTAACTTAATAGGTTTGTCTTTAAGTTTTTTGCTCGGTTGTTTGTCTAACTGTAGTTTTCATGTAGTTATTCCTACACTGGCCAAAGTCTTAAAGGAAAATCTAAACCCTCAAAGGAAAAACCTAAAATGTGGGTGGTTTCTTTCTTTCTTTCTTTCTTTCTTTCTTTTTCTTTTTTCCCCTTTAAATTGGATGTTTTCAGAGCCTGCAGCCATGAGAAGGCTTTGTAGCTCAGAAAATAAATATTTTTCTGGGCTCTGGTTTTCAGTCATTATTTGTTTTGCTTTGCGAGTACATTCAAACAAGCCAAGCTAAAATCCAGGGAAATGCAAAGAAATGATTGTAAACCAGTCAGTTCTTTGACTTTTACATTTATGTGATGGCACAATTAGAAAGTAATCCAGAGCATTTTGTGGATCTAATTGAACTTTAGCGTATTCACCGTGTGCATTTCAGGGGTATTTGGTGCACAGCAAGTTAAAATTGTTGAAGACTTAATTCATCTTAGCTCAGGTATTCAGTTTGAATAGTCTACTTAAGATGGATTTGTTTGTTTTGTTTCCTTCAATCAAGGTATAATAAAACCAAATAGTAACTGGTCCCCCACCAGGAAAGCCATGTCAGTAGCATCTCAGTTCCTATATTCTGACTTTTTCTTATTAGCAYAAGTTTCATACCTGCTTGCAGTCTCTCCTCAGAAATTAAAATGAAGTCATCATTTTGGGATTTCTTCCAGTTGACACACCAAAGACCTGCTGTTTTCCAACGTTTATGTAAACACGTTAGCYGTGCTATTTGTCACATTGCTGATTATTAGTCCATGACTTGAAGTAATCACAGGTGRAGTTTCATGCAGTGTCAGCACTTCTGTTTTTTTTTCCTCAACGTGTTCTGGAGAGCAGGGGAACTGAGGTAATAGAAAGCTTGAAGGTGAACCAGGATTGGATTATTTTATAGTTTTAATCCAGAAATAACACTCTTTAAATAGTGTTTGCAAAATATTTTATCCAGAGCTGGTCAAGGGTAGAAACTAAAGAGCTGAAAGTATTTTTGCTGTAGGAGCACCTTAATGACTTGAACAGTTGCTTAACTTGTTGATGCATTTAAATATTCCTTATTTTTTGTGAGAACATTTCTTCWTTGCTGGTGATGATCTTGTTTGATACGATACGGGACAAGTGATGAACAATAGGAWGATTTCCAGCGTAGTTGGAGCTCTCGAAGGTGTCAGTGCCACCTCCGCAGCTCTCCACCTTGTTTTAATTGCCTTCCAGTTAATTACTCCAGTAAGTGTGAAACAATGTTGTCAGACCTCCCCTGCACAGCCCTGCTTTCACTTTGTCCTCTCTGCTCTTTGTCAGCCAAATGGAGGCATCATAGATGGCTGAAGGACACTTTAAAAAGAACATTTTTGTTGACATGTTCAGTACAGGTCGCCATCAACGGTATAATAGTTTATTTTTTGTTTTACTCTCTCTGTGACATTAWTAACAGAAATATTTGCTAAAGCAAGGAAAGTTGTAGTGAAAGTGGACAGGCTGATTGTTGATACAAGTCCTTTTTAAAGTACATGCTTTATTTATCATATTTGTTATTACAGTACTTTTCCTGGCACAACGCTCAGGGTGAAGTTTCTCCATACAAAGCCTGTCATCTTTATTTAGCAGCCGGCTCGTCACCACTGTCCTGTCACTTTGGACACGGCTGCACCACTTTATTAGCGCAGGACTGATGTGACGTGTGCGAGGCCCATCTTTTCCAGGTCCCTTCTCCTCCCCGCTCACCTGATTCTCCATGCCACTGGCATCAGCTCCATAGATCACGGCTGTCGCAGCATGTGTAGGTGCTTGCACCACTCTGTTAGTCTCATCGCTCATTCTCACTCGTCAACCAGGCTGCTGATCTCACCCAGACCCCTCTCTCTCTCTCTCTCTCTCTCTCTCTCTCTCTCTCTCTCTCTCTCTCTCTCTCTCTCTCTCTCT